AGAGAAAGAGAGAGATATAGTTAGCAAGAAAGGAGAAAAAAAAGAAAAAGTGAAAGAGCAAGCAAGCGAACGAATAACCGAGGGCGAGAAAGAGCGAGGGAAAGGGAGAGAGAGAGAGAGAGAGAAATAGAGACAGAGAAAGAGAGAGAAATAGAGACAGAGAAAGAGAGTGAGAGAGACGGGAAAGAGGAGCAAGAACAAGTTAAAACGCCAAACGATACGTAAGAGACAAAGGCCACGGCGGCATAACCTCCAAGCCCAACCGTACGACGCATTACGGGGATCTTGTATCCTCATACATCGCCTCGTATTCTCAAGAAAATTTGGTACATTATTCATGAAAGATTCTATTTTTGCAAGTACATGCCTGCTCGGGCTTCCATATGAAGTATCGCACGAATGAGAGAGAGAGAGATAGAGCACGTGCGTGAAACATATTTTCCTCGAGATACAGGAACCGTCATAAAGCGAAAGAGCGGGACGGTTGTTTGTACAGTCGCGTTTTTCCGCGACACCTGGTATACGATATACTTACATTCGCGAGTGTTGTGTAAACGAAATTCACTCTCTGCGACGAGAAATAAAAAGAAAAAACGGCGGATAATATTCTTAGCGCTGTAGTTTACAGTTGATGGATGAAACTGGCAGGATGCTGCAACACGGAGGATCAGGTGTTGGTCTGATGGGAGGAAACCAGGGCCAGGGGGCCCAAAATACTGCCGGATACGGTAGCATGGGACCTGTAGATGGAACTGCAACACAGGGACCGGATCAGGCCGTCGAAGCTAGAAAACAGGACATCAGTGAAATTCTTCAACAAATAATGAATATCACTGATCAGAGTTTGGATGAGGCGCAAGCGAGGTTGGTCCCATTCGTGATCTGATCAGCCGCCATTTTTTAATATTTCCGAGATGTATCGTTACTTTTTTTTTTATAGTTTATTGTACCAATTTTTCCACGATATCTATTCATCAATACGTCCTTTTTTTTCTCACTCTTAATGTTTTTTTACAATATTACATCAAAATCAATCGCTTCAGATACATTTGATCTTTCTCATTAACTGTTGAAGCGTTTGTTAACATATAAACGTAACAAGTTACGATAAATATAGGTTATGTTCGTTATTTTACATTTTATGTTAGGATTTTGATAAATGAACATTATTTTTATGAGTTACTATTATAATCTGGTAACTGTCAATTAAGTAATGAATGCTAATTAAGTAATGAATATAGTACTTCAGTAACTTGTAATGACGAGTTATAACATCAGTCATATATAAGCATTCGAATATGTGATAAGACAGTTATCTTCGCATTATTGTTAGTTACGCGAGTGTACAAATTTACAAAAATGAGTGTGCCAAATAGATCTGTATTTCTTTATAATAAATGGTACCATAAATTTTTTGTCAGTGCAAACAAAATTTATATTACACAATTTAGATTTTCTGTTCTTTTTTTTTTCAGAAAACATACTTTAAACTGTCACAGAATGAAGCCAGCTCTATTTTCGGTTCTGTGTGAAATCAAGGAGAAAACAGGTAAGTTTTCACTATTTATTATTATTGTTGTTATTATTATTACTATTATTATCATTCGGTTTAGTTTCTTGTGAAGAAACAGATAACAATGTTCACTGGTAAATATTTATTGGAATAAATTTAACAATTATTACTATTTACAAAGTCCTTTCAAGTTTTACATTAGTAATTATTGTTTATTCAAAATCACAATAAATAATGCGAATGAAATAGATGCCATTAAGATAACAGGACACTTCATACAAGAGTGGAAGATCACTTCGTAACTCGCATGGCAGTTTCGATGGTTCCACATACGAATTCTAAACAATCTGAGAAATTCCTAGAAAGAGATCCCTATCTAGATGAGAGAAGAGAGACTGTTGATACGTTTTCGGCATACAGTGCAGTATTGTCTGCCCTGCGGGGTCGACCCCTGTGCCCATTCGAAACTCGTAAACATAATTTTTATGCGATGTTTGGATTACTTTTACGCGCGGATCAAGAGACCACGAAACGTGCAATTATTTTTGGGATGCGAGGGGTGGCTGGCTTGGCTCGAAATGCCTTGGGGGATGGGTAGGAACCGTGGAGACAGGGATGAGACGGAGAAGGTGTGTGGGTCGACTACCCCAAAAGTAGTTTCTGCCTGGTCGTATGATGGGGGTGGTGGGGCCACCACGCCCCTCATGCTAAGTCACCCTCTTTCACGTCGTTCCACTGTAAGTATATATGTATATCTAGACACTCTTTTTTTTTTTATTTTTCTCCTTCGTTTCTTGCTTTTTGAGCAGCTCGCTAGTTTTCTTCTTTCTCGCATCGAGAGTGGTATTGTATTGGTCGAGGGTTTCGTTCGTCGATGACATTCCACGTACGGCATCTACGTATATATTTCTCCGATAAAATTCGAAAAAGGGACGCTGCTCTGCGAAATGATACCTGTTCTATAGGTTAAAAGGTATAAAACCGTTGATCAAATTTCTAACAGAAGAAGGTTACTTGCCTCTTTAATTTATTCTTAACATTTGGAGAAATAGAAATCGTACAATCCTGTTTACGTTCGTTGAAAAAGAAGCAGACGCCACGTGTCTTCCTATTGTATTGTAAGTGCATAATTAAAAATTCAAGGTTGTTGTAATTATTGATTACGTACTGCTCATGTTACGTTCCACGCGAATTGTTCATATTGGCAGCGTAGTTGTCTAAAAAAACGTTTGACAAAACATTTTATCAGGCTTGAATGGCCATTCTTAATTACATGAGAAAGAACTCTTTCGATATCTGATATAGAACGTGAAACAGTCGAGAACGTAAAGAGGATTTATGTAAACAAAAAAGGCGTCAAAGTATGATGAGCATACTCAGGAGGATGAGTCGTTTTAATGGTTCTATATTCTTTATGAGTCGTGCTAAGCATACACGCGTGTTGTTTTCGCGCAGGCACATGGGCGCGCATATACGCGTAGGTCAGACGAAGGTACAGAGAAAAATGTACAGAGTAGTAGAGAACAAGCAACGGGGGATGAAGAGGGAAAAAGAGGCAAGGCTTGTAGTAGAGTTTATGGGCAATGGCTGACGAGGCAGTGAAAAAGTACTAAAACCAAGAGGAGCAGATAAACGCTATGTTAAGCAGACCGTTTTACCAGCCATTTAATATAATCGGCTCTCTTGCGGAGCTCGGATAACTTCAGATCAGGACCGTACCAACTCAGATTTCTCCCCATTTGACATTTCTCTTTTCTTTCCTTTATTCACAACTGATAAACGTCGTGCTGGTTCGTATCGACATTATCACTTTTATATTTGATTTCTATTACTCGCTGACTGATTCGATCTTACCTTCATCTTTCAGTAATTCGTTTGCTCGTTCGCTTGCTTTTTATAAAACGATTGAAATTTGAACAGTCTATTTACCTAATCGAAAGATTTACTTTTAATGGGAATTCTCATTTGAAAATCTTCTACCATGATTTATAGCACCGGGAAGTTTTGTTACTCTCTCAGGAACGATTCGTCATGATCATTCGAAATAGCTACTTTTCGAAGCATCTTTGAAAACCTGTTTTGGACAACCCTGTTTAAGTCGATTTCCCATGAGGGGCACGAAGATCTTGAAGGGTAACAGAAAGGAAAAGAAAGAAATCCGTGGGATTTCTGGGACCCACTTTTCTACCAACCCTTAATCCGTTCTTCCTCCGACATTCAGAGATCTTTTCTTTGGATAGTTCTTCACAATCGTCGACGCCACATACCGTGCCTTTCTAAAAATATTCTCGCCACTATTAACGTGAATCGAAACGTAGTCTTTTTAAGATAGTGCTCGAAAACTCCTGTATCTCTCAAGTTCAATTCGAATGAATATAAAATGAAATGTATGATAATATACTTCCTATGTTCCTTCATTGGACTAAATTTCAAAACAGCAAATAGCTAATTCCTATGAACGGTCGCGTGTGGCCATGTAATTAATCAAAGACCGATTGCTAGTTTGGTTGTCCGATTGGCCGTCAACTTTATTTATTGTTTGTCAGCGCGCGTAACATACGTGA